TCTGCCATCAAACAGCTTCAAACCTCACAGTACCATGCCTGCGTAGAGCGAAGGCGTTTGCCTTTGACGGAGTACTTTCTGAGAAAAGGGGCGCCCCATTGTAACGCCAGAGAAGGCTTAACAGACAACAGAGTCACGGCCTTGCAACGTCAGGTGCATGCAGACATAGGGTGTTTTGCAGACCCCCTTCCACTTTTCACGTGCCCACTGTGCACACGTGTATACCTGCCGTCAGGTGAACATCTCGGAGTACTGTCCGTGAGGCAATCCCAACGTTAACGCTACCCGACTACAACACTGATTGAACGCTTTTTGCAAACCACAATTAGCCGCAAGGCTTTCCGGTGCCGTTTTCGTGTTGCGCAATAGCTGCACAGTACGCTGCGGGGTCGTCGCTATTGCTATTTTCTACAGGCCCCGCTCCCGTCCTAAGTCAGAGAACCAACATCATATCTAACCGGCCGTATACCCAATACTGCTAAGCGTTTGACACAAATCGTTGCCTAGTCGCTGCTGCCTCCTAACACCGGGCGCGCTGCAGTTACACTCCCACTAGTTCGCTCAGCTCGGTCGTCGCGTCAGGCTCTGTCTCACAAGCGCGCATCGCAACGCCAAAGGACTTCGAAACTGTAAACACCAAACACGAACACGGTAAAGGCAAAACGAGCTACCACGCCCCACACCTGACCCCCACAAATCTGCATGCAAACACGAACGCGCCTATGCTTGCAGCCAAACATTTCGAACACTAAAAGCTCCGTAATAGGGGGGAACAGCGGCATTTGTCCGGGATAGCGTACTTCCTGAGCGAATATGCAGTGTGTCTGTGAGAGAAGGCCTTGCCACAATGTGGCAGTAGGCGCGCCCACGTGAACTGCATAACCCGACGGCCCTTACGCATGCAACATCCGTACCTCTCTCCATAATACTGCGAATACGCCGATGCGCAGAAGCAGCTAAAGTCAACCAAGGCAACGGAACCAACAGCAAGCTTAATACTCACTCAATGCAGCTAGTCAGCTGCATTGAGTGCATTGAGTGAGCTTAATACTCACTCAATGCAGCTGACTGCATTGGGCGCCCCTGTTGAATCGCGTCGTGCTAGGGGTCTTACCATAATCTAAAGCGCTCCAGACACGCTTGACGCATCCCATGAGTGCAGGTCGACGGCCTGCGCCATGCTTTCCCATGCCTACCATGTTGAGGACCCTTTTTCGTGAATTGTTGAACTCCGATGACAGACAATGAGCAACGCGTTCACAAGTCGCACCTAGTACAAACTCACCTCAGCTTAGCCAGTCGCCACACCAGAAGCATCCGCCTGCACCACGACCTCCGCTGCCTTGTGGATTACTCGATTGGTACACAGGGTTCAACTAAAGCCGCGCGCTTTCGTCGAAGATCCATGAGCAATTTCACTAGCGGGTGCACCCCTGCTCGCCCTGCGCTACTGCTGTTGCTGGAGAAATATGTTCCTTCATACACTACATGAGCGGATTGGCAGTCAACAGGTCCGCACACGTCGCTGCCTAGGCGCTGCTGCCTCTCACTACATATGGACGTACATATTGCGCCGCGCATAGACTGTTGTACGAAGTTCGTCACACCGGGTGTAGTGCCAGACTCTGTTTCGGAGGCCTTCCGCAGCTTCTAAGCATTCATACAGAGTACATGCTAAAGAACAGCACGGTAAGGCCTAAACAAGCTCCCACGACCTTTCACACTCCAACAACATGAATACCCATAATACATCTTCACGCATGCACCCCTCCATCCCTGCCTCGTCTCATACAAGCTGATACGTTACAGTATCCATAACCGCCCCGAAACACTGAA